CTTATTGACTGAGTTAGGTCGGGCCGTACGGGAAAATATTTGGCTCTCGGTCATTTGTACGGACCTCGCTGCGCTCGGTCCGTACGACATGACCTCGAGCCAAATATTTTCCCGTACGGCCCTCCCACTCAGTCAATAAGTACATATTACTTTTGATCTTTAAAAAGTAAAAACATGATTTTTTAGAAATCATTTTTTTCATCTTCAAGACTTCAAATATTTGACATTTTTTGAGAAAACAAAAAAGGATATTGCGAAGAAATTCTGCAAAACTTACATAAATCATCAAATATCTTCTTTTTTCATTTCCTAAACACTCAAAGGAAAGTTGAATAAGCTGCTTTCTTTGTACAGAAGTATTATGTACCTCTTTACGGATAAAGTAGGCGAAAGCTTTTGAAGTTTCAACATGCATCAAGTTTCAACGTCTCTCGCTTCAAACTTTCGCGTCAAGTGACCTTGAACAGCTGTAAAATGGCCCAACTGATATTTTCTTTCCTTCTTAATTCTCAAATAACAAGCAGCGAGTCCTCCTTTTGCCATTCTCAACCTTTTTTGCTGGTTTTCAACTGATGGAGCTGGACTTTTTTAGCATTTTTAAATCCATTTTTAAGATGAAAATCCGCCATCTTGAATTTTCTGAGAACTTCCAGAGAGGGAAGGCTGTTCATTTGCTATGACAACTGCTGTGATCTGATTGGCTAGTTTGAATTTTTTTGTCTTTTCAACCAATCACTGAAAAGTGCTTCACATTTTTGCACTGGTGTTTCAGGAAAACAGCACTGCTCTCAACCAATCAGAAGTGAGAAAGTTTTGCATCTATATTATTAAGGGAGAGAAAACAAATTAAACAAATCGAAAAATAAATTTAGAATATGAGTCGCTAGCTGTCAAACAAGAAACACTAAAAATGATCTATCAAAATAAATTAGGAAAAATGAAGCGATAAAAAAAAAAGAACTAACCTTAGAAAAACTTCCTGTGAAGGATAAATGGATAGGAAAAAAATGTGAAGGCGAAATAAGTAAAAAAATACGGAGAGCACGGAGACACAACCAGTTCAGTTGACAGCGCGCGACCTATCGAGGAGGGTGTTCGGAAGCGGACTCTGATTGGTTCAAAAGGCTTTTGACGTCATAATAGGGTTGTTCTAAAAATAAATTTGACCTATACAGATAACAGGTGTGATGACGTCACTTCATGGGGTGTGACGTCATTCCTGGGGCTTATCCGCGATCCGCCCTGATCCGCCCGTCCCAGAACGCACATTCTGTATACTACTAATATTCATGTCTTGTCAAAATTGAAGAAATACTTAGATAGCCACTCCTTGACCAAAGATTGCTATGCTTTGATATATCCATACCTTGCATATGGATCTAGTTTATGGAGGAATAACTATATTTCTACTTTATATGACTTAACCAAACTTCAGAATAAATCAATTAGAATAATATGCGATGTCCCTCTACGTGAGCACATAACTCCATATTATTCAAAGCTAAAATAGTAGTATAGGAATGGGTGGACTAGAGCACTTCTAACGCACCTTACTAAAAGTCTCGCTTCGCGCTCGACTTTTTAAGGGAGAAGAAGTGCGCCAGTCACACCCATTCCTATACTACATCATACAGAGGTTTTATACACGGTGAATCATTTAAGCAATAGAAAACGTTTTCCGTGTTTACATAGCCTGATAGCAACACGAGGGGAGGTTGGGAGAATTCGAGACAGTTATGCAAACCCGAGACGTAGTCGAGGGTTTGCATAACTGTCGAGAATTCTCCCAACCCCCGAGTGTTGCTATCAGGCTATGTAAACACAGAGAAAAAAGTTTTCTATTGCTTTTATAAAATAAATACTAAGGGAAAACATTACCACCTGCAAAAAAATAAATCTTTATTTGAATTTRATTCTCATATCAAAATACAAATTCTAAATACATCACGAATGTTGATCGTTAGCCAATCAAATTTCGTGTAATAAACGCCAAGGAGGCAAATGTGAAGCGAGAAAGAATCGCTAGCTATTTTAAACATTTATCATTCTAAAACTTTAAAACAAATACAAAGAAATGTTCAAAGATTGAATAGAAATATGAATAAAAGATTTCAGAACTGATTACTTTACGAAAGTGATCAAAAGTAGATACCTGAGTGTCACTGTGACTGGAATTCTCGGTTTTGCTCAATTTGACAGCCAGAAAACATGGGAGCGAAGTTGATTGCTTCATCTTGCCTCGAGAAGATATTTTGTGAAACTGAAGAGCTATCGCTGGAAAAAGCTTGAAGCTACTGACTGTTTCCTTGAAATACTTGTATTCCTTATCGGGCGGTGCATTTAAATCATGAGAAAGCACGTCGMTGAACAACCGAAGCTGTCCTGACGAAGGACGTGTGTTGTAGCTCCTGAGGGAATTCTCGTTGCGGTGACCAACGAGAGATTGTCATGATATTACGATCAGAAAGACCTGCATGAGACCATAGCCTGTGGCCCTGACACAAGTCAAAATTTGGAACTTCGTCATCAAAATACATTTTTGGGGGCGTTTTTTTCCTCAAAAGAAATTGTAAACTTGTACCGGGAAAACACGAAAGTTGTGACGTCACAACTGTGTTTACATACCCTCATGCAAACATGGATATCGACCAATCACAGCGTGCGTACTATTTAATTTATTTTATAATGCTTTATATAAGAAACTTTATAAGGAACTTCATAAACCAGGAATCATCGCTTTATACGACACCAGGAATTATCGCTTTATACAGGAAGTGTAAATTATGAGTTTTCTATTTGTGTTTAAAATATAGCTATAGTATATATGGAGCAGCAAAGCAATTTTAGAAATATCACTTTACCTGGAGGTGGTTTTATAGACGTTAGTGAGTTTTGGGATAGATATTTACCTAGGGTAAGAACTCTATTAGAAGAAAACCTAGAAGAATTGGGTGCTATCAAATCAAGTATTTCCATAGATGTAGTACTGGAGAGAGAAGACGAACTTATGTTACCTTAAGACCACAGTCTTTAGTGATCATACAAACGAGCGATATCGATGCCATGCTCGCAGAGAGAAAAGAAAAAATGTTGGAGGTTCTATCCAACTACACGAGCAAGGATTCTGGGTGGAGAGTCATTTCTGTAGAAGGGATGGACGTTAGCATACCTAGATATGTCTTAATGAATGGTGCAAGTTACGTACCTTTACCTACCTGGATTCAAAGGAAGAAAGCTATAGTAAATGTGAAGAACAAAGATAATAAATGTTTCATGTGGGCTATAAGGTCTGCTCTATATCCAGTAAAAGGTGATCCCAACAGGGTTAGTAAATACCCAGTGGATGATTTAGATTGGGATGGGATAGAATTTCCAGTGACTCTAAGTGGGATAGACAGATTTGAGGATCAGAATGCCCACAGAATAAACGTCTATAGGGAAGGTGAAGTGATAGTACATATGAGGTTTTCTAAAGACCCCACGATACATCTGTTTTACTACGGAGGACATTGCTCCTGGGTTAAACGTCCTTGTAGATTATTCTACCGTTTAACCAAACATAAATCGAAGAAGTACATTTGCTTCAACTGCTTATTATCCTTTATAAGTCCTAAGAGGTTAGAAGAGCATTCTAAATTATGTGCTGGAATTACTGAAGTAGCTTTCCGCGTGGAAATGCCTGCTAAGAAGGAGTTCTTTTAACAGGATCAGATAAAGTAACTACCTGTTCCATATGTTATTTATGCGGACTTTGAATCCTTGATCGTTCCTGGTTTAGAACGACGAGGTAATACAGAGAGGACTGCCTCCCATGAATTATGTGGGTATGGGCACATTGTCGTACGACAGGATGGACACAATGGAGAACCGCAAATATACATGGCTCCACACGCGAAGGAAGTATGGGAAAAACGCGGTTGTAAAAACATGGGAGATTACCACGACATTTACCTTCTTTCAGACGTGGTGCTTTTAGCGGACGTATTCCAAGGATTTAGAAAGATGTGTATGTCTTACTATGGTTTAGATCCTGCAAACTTCTACACGGCTCCTGAATTGTCGTAATCTGCGCTACTGAAGATGGCTAAACCTCAAATAGACCTTCTGACAGAATATGACATGTACCTTTTCATAGAGAAGGGAATACGTGGTGGGGTATGTGGTCCTAGTAAGAGACACGCGAAAGCAAATAACCCTAAAACTGAATACGATCCTGAAAAACCTACGACGCACATTTACTACTTAGATGCGAATAACCTTTATGGATTGGCAATGTCGCAATACCTTCCAGTGCGAGACTTCCAATGGGTTACTGGTATATGGGATGATTTCGATGTCCCAGAGGATAACCCTGTAGGATACATTCTAGGGGTAGATTTGGACTACCCACCAGAATTACATGGGTTACACAACGACTTTCCTCTAGCGCCGGACAACGTGGAAATACCGTTTGAACTGCTTAGTTCCCACCAAAAGAAGCTTTGCCCAAATTACAAGGCCTACAGAAAACTCATAATGAGCTTTCTTTCTAAGAAGAAGTATGTAGTCCATTACAGGAACCTCCAGTTCTACCTGAAGCATGGTATGGTGCTAAAGAAAATGCATAGGGTGTTGGAGTTCACGCAGGAGCCGTGGATGAATCCTAACATAGATTTCAATACTAAAAAGAGGTTGGAAGCTAAAAACGCATTTGGGAAGGATTTATACAAGTTGATGAATAACAGCGTCTTTGGAAAAACCATGGAGAACATCCGCAAGCGCGTGAACATAAAAATTGCCAACACCAAAGAAGAAGCACAGTCCTACGTATCTAAACGGGTTATGTACGCTATGTAAAGATGCTAAACTTCTGGGAAACCTAACCTTTATATTAACAAGCCTGTTTACACCTGGTTCTGGGTGTTGGACTTATCTAAACTACTAATGTATGGGTTTTACTACGATAACCGAGATGTGAGCTTCTCTACACAGACACAGATTCTTTGATCATGGAAATACAAACGGAAGACGTTTACAAAGACACTTTAGAAGACATCGATGAAGATGACACTAGCGAATATTCCAAGGATCACTTCCTTCATAGTACTAAGAACAAGAAATTCATAGGTAAGATGAAGGACGAAATGCATGGACCTACCATCGAGGAATACGTAGGATTGCGACCTAAGATGTACAGCATAAAACATGAGCAGGGAAAACAAAAATAAGCTAAGGGGGTAGAAAATAATGTGGCCAAGAAAGACCTCATACATCAGTCCTATTTAGAAGTGTTATACACAAAGGAAAAAATGCGACGTAAGATGAATAGCTTGCATAGCTATGGTCACCGCATACATAACATTACGCAAGAGAAGGTTAGTCTATCTCCATTCGATGGGAAGCGATACATACTAGAGGATGGGGTGAATACATTAGCCTTTGGACATTATGAAACGATCAATAGTTCCTCCTTAACGAACCGGCGCTTGGGACCATCATGAAGATAATACAAGATGGGTTGACCCTACTTTACTACTACGCTTTGAATCTGATAAGTTTTTAAGTGGCAATTAGGGTCCGTAGCTCTTTTAGATCCTCCTTCCAATTCACTAGGTTGCGGCTAGTTTCTTTTCCTTGGGAAAGACAGCTCTGCTACTTCTAATAAACGATTTGTGTTTTACTTTTTTCTTCTTTATCGCGTCCTTCGGTTTCATTCCTGTAACTCTTGTTTCTTCGTCGTTCAGCGCGGATAACATCTGGTAATCTTTGCACCCATTCCCTGTTGCTTTTGCTAGGATCTTTCAATTCTTTCCAATACTGATACCCAAACAGGCGCTCGTCCAGGGTGCGATTGAATTTCTCAACCAAGCTTTGACCCCTGTGGTACTCTGCCTCAGCTCTCCTGATCTCAGTATCATGATCTTTTAAGCTCTTAGTAACTGCGCCCATGAACTCTTTCTCCGCATCCACTTGCAGCAGATTAGGCCACTTAAATCTTAACAAGCGCACTGACAACTTCTGTAGAATCCTTGCTGGTCAGCGGCTCAGCGTCCTTGTATCTGCTGGCGATATCCACAACGGTCAGCGCATATTTGTGTGTTTTTCTCTTTACCTTGTCGTGCGGCAAGAAGAGCAGATCTGCCTGATGAACTTCGTTCGGCTTATCCACGGTAAAGCTGGGCTTGGGTATGTACTTCAGGGCTGGTAGATAAACCTGCCAGATATTCTGTTCTTTTAACCAGTTCTTAGCTGTGTCTTCAGAGGTTCTAGCTGCGGCGGCAAGTTTTTTAATAGCCGAGACTCTCCTCCAATAGCCTTGAGGTCCATAATCAGTCCATAATCTCCTAAGTTTCTCCTCAGTTCGACCCATTATATTAATTCCAAGACGAAATTGATCTTACGTCCGTTGAAGTCCACGGTTTCTCCATCTACCTTTATGGTAATGCTAATGCTTTCCAAGTCAAATGGATTACCTTTGGGTGGAAACTTGGACATTAAATTACTAGGTTTTTCATTGCTGTAACTATGGACCAAACCACAATAGACTTCGTAGTTAGCGGGAACTTTCCATTTTACAGGAATTGCTGTGTTGGTGATTGATTTGTCTAAGACACCTAACAAAGATCCCAATGCATCATATTTTCCTAGGGTTACCGAATAACTATTTGGTAAATTATGTTTGAGGGTCATCTCATGGGGCACTCCTGTGGTGAGAGTATAACCGCGTTTAGCTAATTCTTTTGCCAGTGTGATTGGTGTATAATGCCCATTCGGGAGCATTTCGCCTTGATAGTTAGATCCCTTTTGTACAGTGACCATGCCATTGATCAAATTATATCAACTGTTATAAAGTGAACAGCTTATGAGCCTTACTCTACTAGCGCATATTGGAGGGTTGAGATAAATCGTGAAATCATTCTTATCGCTTTCCAAAAAGACGATCATTATATTAAATACGCAGCGGCTGCGCCTATCGCTAGCCCTCCAACACCCACATATAGCAGCTCATTCTTTTTCTGCTTGCTGCTAGGTGTGCATTTGAACACCGGTTTTTTAGGTCTACATCGGGATGTGTATGTGCGTATAATTTAAATGCATAGTCCGTATTCTCGAAGTTTATATCCGCCTGTAGCTTATCCTTACAATTCTCCTCTAACCAATCCTTATACCACTGCCTTTTCTTTGCCCTGTTGCAACATCCCTCTGATATTGCTCCAAGGCTAAGTCATGTCTTTTCTGCTCCTGCAGGCGATCGTTGTCGCTCGTACCTAGCGCCTTTGCTAGACAACTCCCGCCTATGAATGCCGTAGCATTTAAGATTGCACCACCAACTATAGTTGCGACAGATGTCTTTAGGACGTAAGCATTATATGGCCGGTAGGGTCTTCTCTTTTTGTATGTAATCCTTCAGTGCGATACTACCCGCTACCGCAGCAGTCATCTTCACGTAATTCATAACATTGCTGCTAGGATCTCCCGTGAATGTTTCCTTCAGTGCTTTCTTGCCTATCCATCCGATGCCTGCCAATAGGGATGTAATGACAGCAGCCTCTTCAACGGTTTTAACAAGTTTGGTAGACATATATTACTGGTAACGAAGCTTATTCCATTACAGGTATTTTACTTCGTTGGGGTTTAGCTGTTGGAGGTAGGTGCTTAACTTCTGGAAGGGTAACCTCAGCGGGTGTTCTAATATGCTGTGCGACATGCAGGGCGGCCCTGGCCACTGCCATTAACTTGCCGCACTTCAAAGACAACCATCCACAGGTTATCTTAAGTTCTTGGGCGATGACATAGTCTTCTCTTATGTCTTTCTGAAGTTCTTGCACATTGTCTATAGGTAGTGCAGATCCTAGGAGCTTAGTAGCTAGTTTAATAGCGCTGTCTGCTACGGCGTCCGTGCTCTTACTTGCAAGAGCAGCTTCATATCTCTTGTGGTACTTCTTAACATCTTCTTCAGAGAGTTTCTTGACATCTTCGTGCGTCAACGCTTTCCCTACCATCTCCTTGGACTTACCAGAAGAGACTAGGATGTTAAGCTGCTCTTTCAGGTCTTCTTCTCCGAGCTGCGTGGGCGGTTCATCTA